GTGATTGGCACCGGTATTCCAATCGATAAAATACAAAAATTTATACAAAGTCAGTTGGAAAAACCCATCACCGCGCCGTCGGTCCCTTTGAAAGTTCAAAGAGTGCGGCAGCGCGGCCCGACATTCGTTTGATGATCTGTTCAACTAACTTTGCATGAACATTGAACTTGATTATTTGTTTACAAAAGATGAATGTGAAAAATGGAGGATATGATGGAAACGTTCGAATTGAAAATGAGTGGAGTAATTGTCTAAGTACGATACACGGGTGAACTGTGGAAGTCGGTAAAGTGAAAGAGAGAGGAATTCAAAAATAGTTAATAGGGAGTTGAAGCCAATACAAAAACTTGCAATTACGTATGGACGTACACGTGAATAGAAATACGTACGTATTCAATGAAAAGTAGCGTTAAAGCTACCGTATGGTACGTACATGTTTAACGTACATACAAGGTACAAGACCAGACTCATTTTAAGCCTATTTTTCTTTTCCATTCAAATGTTTTGATTTTTTAGTCTTCGCTTGCTTGGATATTGTTCCAGTGTTGTTGCTGCAAAAGCTGTTGCAAAATGGAAGAGATTTTGATATTCGAAGCTACAAATGATAGCGATGCTAGTAGTGATGATGACCTAGATGATATGTTCATCTTTCATGTACTGAATGAGAACGACAATTTAGGTAATCGAAGGGAATTATATAGAGATATCAATTTAAACAATTTATTTGAAATAGAATGTGAAAAATCTATTTCAATTTGCGAAAAATGACATTCCAAGATTAGCTAGAGCCCTAGGAATACCAGGAAGCTATAAGTTTTCCAGTAATTTACATTATATTCATTTGGATGAGGTTCCAACGGCCCGTGTCTTTGTAGTGATTATGGCCTACAACTTCCCTTGCGAGATGCGAATCATCTTCCGAGGAAAAGAGAATTCTTTTATTCGAATTGTCCATGATTTCTTCGAAACACAACACAAGAACAAAGCGCAATAGAAAACGAATGTGATTTCATGTGATAAAAGTGAGGTTAAAGTAAAAACCGAATAGTTGTCGTTTGTATTCGCTTAGATAGGTAACGTCTTCGGTTCAATACGATTTGCGTTTAGCGCCAGCGTAACAAGACGTAAACATACGTCAGACGTATCTCCTGGCTTTGAAAATTCGCATACTGCGCATGCTTAGATGTCAAATTCTACGTTTACGCTTACGCATTCTGCATTGCTCCAACTCTCCTAATGTCGAAGTCATTATGTCGTAGTGGCCTCCTACCACCTCCACCTAAATACTTCAACTGGGTTGAACGGGAAATGTGAATAAAATATCCCTAATATTTTTACATGCCCTTGGAGTACTATGTCATTTTGTTATCAGATGACGGTCAACATTTGCTGCCGGCGCTCCTACTTCATGATTTTGTTACAATATTCAACTTCACCTATGTTGTCCACTTTGTTTTCTGGAATTATATGCATACCAACCAGAAAATTCACAAACAAAACTCCTTCTAGCGATAACATACAGCAAGATTTTACGTAGGTAGGTACATACTTTCCGAGATAAACCGCTGGGTAAATTTCCTCGTGCTGCGATTATCTATAGTTCGTGGAAAAGTTTAAACGGTTGATGCCGTGCGGACGAATTCCTAGAAGAAAATATTCACTTGCAGTACTTAATTATTGATGTTTTCTCGAGATCAACGTGTGGGTCGAGGTGATCACAGCCCAGGTGATCATAGCATTTTTACGTAATCGAGAATGTCACGTTCGCGAGACTAGAAACGACCAGGATCGTTTCAAGAAATCCAAAAATTGAGGATTACAGTCACGAGTTGCACTTGTAGCTTGCAACGATAATTTCACAAACAACGTTCATACGTTTATACTAGTTTTTTAACACTTGGAGCGCACGAGAAGAAATCCCTATACTGTTCTGAGAATATCGTGCGCACCTGGGAAGAAGGTAGGAATTGGCATTTTTTATAAACTTCTGGATATTTTAAAATTATTTTGGCGAAGAATTTCGAAGCTTTGCTGTTTTATAGGTAGACGAGTTATGGTATAGAGTTCACCAACAAAATGTCATCCTTCATTTCAATTTGAGGTGAATTTTCGATACAAACTTGTTTCCTGATATCGATGATTCTCATCAACCGATTTCCAATATCAATTGCCAAAGTATGAGACATACATATAGAGATTATCGTACAATATACAGGATGTTTCACAACTAATCCAACACATTTTTTCATCACAATAACAGTGATACAAGAGTCGATTACACAAAAAAATACAAATCCAAAATGAAAGGAGATCAAAATTGAAATTTGTAACACTTTTCTTTCTACAATCACTCGAATGAAGCGATTTTGTAGAGCAGTAGTTACTTGGGAAGGAGCATCTCGACGATGCATTTAATTGGGACTACCCGTTTCATTGAACCTCTGCAGAGATCTCCTCAAAACTTCATGAGATACATTATACAAGCTCCCAAATGCTCTGAAACTGATGTTTCCGTTGATCTATCGATAACAGCATTCAAAAGTTCGTTTCGTGTGAAAGGAATTGTCTCATTATGATGGTTGACTATAATTGTTCACACTATCCAAGAATTCTGATGAAAAACTATGCTAACCAGAACACAAGTTATGATGTCATAGTGACAGAACATGGCACACAAAATGTTCATTATTTATTCATCGATTATGATTCATGAATGTGAAATATGAAAAAAATCTCATCCTGTATTTGAATTGGGAATGAATTATTGAAAATGTCTCGAGTTAGTAGTCTAATATGTATGATGGGTATCGAGAAGGCCGTTTCTGAATATCATGAATCGGATGGGCCATGGTTTTAGCCACCGTTTCTTAATTCTTTTTTCACAGAAATGAGATTTTGTCCTTTTTACGTTTCACTCTGTATATTCCTCTTCGGTTCATTATTCGTCCTTCATAAACCTGCAGAGAACATATGGAAACAAGTTTTCCCAATATTCAGTTCGAGTGGAGTTCTGGATAAAAATGTCAAGAAATACAACACTTACCAAACAAATCATTATTTATCTTCCAATGGTGAATTGAGGAGACTGACTATTGATCACAAAAAAATTCGTTGAGTTCTGGCAGCATCGAAAATGTCGACCATAGTGTAATGGTTCCACGTTACACCCTGTGTATGTTTAGTTTTGCGGACTTCCTCACAGTGTTCTAGCTCACTTCGAAGTTGAAATATCACATCTGATATACAGGACGCCGAAAAAGAGTCAAATTATGAAGAAGTTGAAAATGAAGATGTAGATTACCAACTGGAAAATAGAAAATAAATGGTAGTTTGAAAAACTAATGAAACACGCTTTTTTGGTTAGTCCGACTAGAAATGGAAAATAAAATTATAAAAGTGTCCTGTTGATCCAACTAAGAAAATATTTTCTATAAATAATGTATAAGTGTTTCATACGGAAGTTTTAATTAAAAGCCTTCCAAATAGTTTCATGACATTAATTAATATAATTCTGACCCATCTATCAAGTGTTTATTCAACAACTCTGATCATAACAACCAGCATTTCATGGGTGACTATTTAAACAAAATAGGAATGCCTAATACCCCTCTAAGGATCTATTCATTCCAACACATACAATCATATATACAGGATGTAGCAATATGACACAATAAGTATAGCAAAACAATGTTTGCCGAGTCAGCTAGTGTTTTATAAAATCTCCTTAATAGTTTCATTCAACAGACCTGTCACCTGATTTTGCGTGGTGGTTCCCTACCATAATGGTAGCAACATTTCGAAAATTGTGGTATTATTGATGAGAGTCGTTTCATTGTTTATTTGAAGAATTGACTTTGATGCGATTTTACTGTTGTTGGTGCAGTTTGTTAATTAAATCTTGGATTTGGAGACTTGGGCGCCTGTACTTCATTCCTCCGAAGCGTGGGTCTTGATTTAGTTGTCCATAGATGAAACGAGTGCGTTTCATCTATGAGTTGTCTGTTTGTCAAGTCGTGCAGTAGCGGGTGACCCAAGGTTGGTAGAACTAATTATAATTTGATACTAGCGGGGTGCGATCGAGGCAACCTTCCTCTACAAAATAATCATCAGTTCTACCAACCTTGGGGCGACCATGAAATAGCGACATCTAGGGCAGAAGGAAAGAAACACAAAACATGCAATTTTCATCCTGGTGCGAAATGAGAGTGGCTCAATAACCAAATTATATCCTCCCAAAATCTATGCAACGATTCGTATTAAAAGAATAATGATTGCAAGTGTTGTTTTGGTTGCCGTATTGTTTTCATCGCATTTCACGTCTTGATGTTTCGGAATTCGAACACCTCGAATTATTTCAGACTTCAAATAATTTCGTTAGATGAAGAGTAGTCTACAACACGTTTGGAATGGCTTATTCCAATTCTTGTTGTTAATTATACTATTGTTCAATATATTGGACTATAGGTAATCAAAGTTCTTTCATTTCATTGTGAGTTATTAGTAGACAATTTAATCATGTATGATTTTGAAGAATATCAACCTTGGCTGCGAATAAAATATGTTTCTTGAAATCTAAGAAAATCATTGTTAATATCTAACAGACACTTTTTCTGGAGAATACCACAGAATATTGAATTGAATCTGTGAAATTTTCTTCAATTAGGTATTTCCAATATTTGACAGATATAATTCAATATTTCGTGGTATCAGCCATCAGGAAAAAAGTTGTCTGTTAGATATTTCAATGACCATCTTCCTTATTCTGCAAAAAATATCTGATGAAACTGAATGTTGAAGCTGCAAATACACCTAGCCATTTTGAGTAGCAAATAAATGTCAAACAGAATAACGGATGAATCAACTTCATTCATCAGCTCTTCATTATTTTTCATCACATTTGACAATAAGTTCAGAATCTCCTTCACACTTCCATGACCACAACGGTTATGAAATCCGAGCCGTGGATTCTCTTTTTGATTAACTTTTATTTTGTTTTGCAGGTGTGGGAATGATTCCAGTGAAAGAGTAAGTGATTGTTTTATTTGAATACCGCGGAGGAGAATGAAATCGTGAATGAAGTCAATGTTATTTATAATAACCGTACATTATACATGGTGGAATACAAATATTGCATACGAATTATCTTGCCAGAATCAGTAAATACTGTGATGTCGAGAATGAGTTTGCTCTTTTTCGAATCAATATTATTTTTCTCCAAGCGACAAGGAAAGTGGTTTTTCTTGACACTTAGGAAAGGTGTACTTTCTCTGCCTTGGCAGAAAAAGGTTGTTGCTATGCAACGTTCCAAGTAATCTTAATGAAATTGGTAATAGAAATTGACACTGACATTGGGTGAATACAAAATTATGGATTTTTCAATAAAAAAATTACAGAACATTGGTTTACCAACATTTGGAGAGAAAAATATATGTTTCACACGGCAGTAAATGTACACGAAAAAAAAAAGGAATTGTTGAATCAGGCAATAAGTTTGAGAAATTCAGACAATTTCCGTTTCATGATATTTTCTCAACAAATCAACATCACGAAACCGAACTAACTGACAATTTTTAATTATAATTCAATTTGAAATTTTTACATCATTAGAATACACGCTCAGAATCGTTGTGAATTTTTTCGGAAATCAAAATGAAAAATGACACTTATCTCGAAAACGGAAAGAGCATATTATTATTCTGATAGTTGAATTGTGATAAATCTTCAAACACAAAAACTTGGGGAATTTTCATTGCATCGGTTGAGAGTTTCGCACCACGTACATTCCGATAATTGAATAATATATAGGGTGTTCCATTTGAAAAAATTATCGCAGATAGCATAACTCAAACTTGGATCACCCTGTATATTGGATTTTCCCTCATAAATAAGCAAAAATGCAGATGAAACTCGACTTGTCCCAGCAGATAAGAAAAAGATACTTTGGCTAAAAATAAATTTTTACAGTAGGTACTTTAAGAAAGCACTGTAGGCATATACCCGTTGAAAATTTGAAATCTGAATGTGCTCCTTCTCGATTCAAAACATTTACATTTTATATTGCTCATGAATAGTGTTACGCTCAATAGTCGATTTCGGGCAATGTCAAAAAAAAACGCAAAATACTCATTTTGATTAAGGAATATTTCCTGAACCCAAAATTTTAATTGTATTTGATTTGGGGGCCGGCCCGAACGACCAAATAATCCTACTGCATGTTCTGTAACAGTGTCATAATGGTAATTTTAAATAATTTCGGATATTTTTCGATGTCTTGAATATTTTTCGTGTATTGAAAGAATTTAAGTTCGCCCTGAATGTACTTCAGGCGGAATGCAATTTTTGACTTACCTATACGTAGGTAGGAACTTCACTTTTTTCGAATTGAGAAAAGAATCTGCATAATATAGGTATCGAAAGTGGAATCGCATCATTGAGAACATCGTTATAAAAACCGTTATATACAGGTACTCACACTTTTGAATTCTTTAAGGGCATTTCACGATTGATTACTCAGGAGATATGTATCTATGAATAGAATAAACATTAACACTCTGATTGATCGACCACTTTCATTTTTACAACGTCGTTTCTCCTTTTCAACCATCGGAATCCAGTTCACGGTACTTTTTAAGAGTTATTTTTCTATAGGCAAGAGTAAATTTAGATTAGAAATTCTCCTTCAGAGATAAATAAACAAATAGATCGAAAACTTGAAACGGTTTGTAATTGATACGAGCGAAAACGTTATGCAAATCCTGGTTAGGACGAGTTCAATATTGATGATAATATAATTACTGTAAGTTTGAAAATACTAATACAGTCTGAGAACTTCAATAAACAATTAAGATTATTACCATGTTGAAAATTATCGAAATTTCCAAACCAGTTCGTTCGAAAAATATGAGTTAAATAGATACCATACATTTGATGGTTGGATAACTGATGATTTAGAAGGAACTACGGTGATGTCATTCTGATCATTCTACAATAATTGTTAATATACGCTTACTTTGATCAGAATTCAATAAAACTCCCTATCAAAATGATATGCCATAGTATAAACCAATGAATATTTGTCTACAAAAAAAACTGTCCCTGATGAAGCAAAAACTCAAAGTAATTTTCACAAGTGTTCATCAGTGTGGGGTTATCAATAAACATCAGTCCAAGGATGATTCAATTCGACCTCCATTTGCTCAGAGACTTTGGCCTTTGGGGCAAGATGGAAACAGTGACATCTATAGCCTCAAAAACTGGAATTTTCATTTCGGTGAAAAATGGAAGCGGCTTATTGCCACTCCATAATAGCCAAAATTGCTAAGAGTGGAATGAAATGCTAGTGATGAATGAAATGAGAGTTTGTAAAGCTGATAATACTTTTAGACTGATGACTGTCTTGATCAAATAACGCGGTGCGAACACGGTGCGAAGGAGTGTCAACTTGTGAGTAATCTCATCTAAAATTCGTTGTTGAATTCTATATTTCAACTAGTTTATAATTTTACTTTGGAGAGAGTTTCATGGAATTGAAATATACATTACTTCAAAGTGAAATTCAGGAATAGTGAATGATTCTGTTTTCTCACCGCATTTTCTGATGGGGTCGAATAATCCTCAATTATTCTACCAACCTTCATATTTTCCACACATTGCGCGAAATTAATCGTTCAATATACGAACCCCAGGTCATCTGCTTCCATTCAATTGCTATTATCAAGTATCCGTTAGACACAACAATTGGAGAGTAAATCCACCATATAGGTTTTGTTCGAAATTGGATAGAGAGCGATAGATCAATATTAGCTAAAGCAGAGACATTTAGTGTTTCGGTTATTGGAATCAATGAAGACATAAATGATAATTTCAAGAAAGAGCGAATTGGTTTTCGTTTGAGAATGAGACTTACTCAATTTGACAAATCTTCGAATACAATCCCACTTGATCAATAATTATTACTGTGATTGATCGTTTTATCTTGACATTTGACAAAATTGTCACAATCTCAACTCCTATAATTTTAATATGGGTTTCAAACACTTGAGAGCAGAAAAACGATTGAACATGAAAGAAGTTAAATGATACCAAGTTCGATAAGGTGATGTCTAACGACTACGATGATATCACCAAGAGAAAGGTCTCCAATATGCTCAAAAACTGTCGCGAAGATATCCAAATATCACTGATCAGGTCAACTTCATCTTTTCTGTAACACTAAATTGAGAACTGATATTGAGACGTTCTCGACCATATTTTCTATAAGTCATTTGATACTCCGATATCGAATTAAATATTGTTCAATGACAATCGACTATTATACTGGCTGTGTTTCATTTGAGAAATATAGAGGATCAAACTCGTTTCTTGAGATTTTTAATTATAATTATGTTTGCATGTTTCAAAATATAGTGATATGAGTTGTCTGTGTAAAATAGTATCAATATAATAACTAGAAACTTGCAAATGTTTATGTTGACGTATTTTTAGCAAAAAGACGGATATTCTGAGCTGGCAGATAATTTCTGATACCAATTCGTCTTCAAGATCATCACCCCAATTTGTGGATAAGAACTGCGATATCAGAATCAATATCATGGTAGCACCAAGATCAAAACTAGGATGTGGGTGAGTTGGACAAAAGTTTTATGATTGTTCCTATTGATTGAAATCATCTTATGTCTTGAGAAAAATAATGACATTGTGGACTGTTTGTTTCTTCTCTATAATTTCAACCCACTCTGATAAAAAAGATAACGTAATGTTTACTCATGGAACCATGGTACTATTCGATTGTAGGTACTTCCTGCAAGATATTTACCATCGCGTACAAGTTGGGCATTTTTCCATCTTGTTGGAAAATAGCTAGAGTCCAACCAATCCTCAAAACAGAAAAGAGAAGCCTGCCCAACGACTATATGCCTATTGCCCTGTTATCAGTTATTTCCAAAGTGATGGAGATATCCATCAACATTGAGCTCATCAAATATCTGGAAATATCAGGAATCACTAATGATAGACAATATGGCCCACCGAAAATCAACTTTAGGTTCACTTGCCTAAGTCACTAGTATATGTCAAGTTTCATTAGAAAAACATGGGGAATCTTCAGCTGGATATCGAAACATTCGACCCTGTTGGGCACCAAGGACTCCTCCACAAACTACCATCATACGTTTCACCACCACAGCTATGTCATCTTTTATCGAGCTAACTCTCAGGCAGATCGCTCCATGTGGAAGTGGACGAAATATCGTTTTGATAATATTGCCATCAATGCTGGCGTTCTACAAGGATCGATATTGCACCAAAATTGTTTCTACTTCATATCAATAAACTGTTGGGAATAACCACCTCCCCTATTCACAGCTTTGCAAATAATGATACTCTTCATTCTGCGTTCTCTTATAGAATTTCCATTTCTTAACTGCTTAACAAAAACACAGATTTACATTCCGTGCGAAAATCTACTATATAACTCAACAGCTCCTCATGATCTACAAAGCACAATTACTGTTCTCACATATGAGGTTCAGCACCCAAACATACGCTGATGCTCTTAGATTCCATCCCGAGAAGAACCATTCGCCTGCTGATGCCATACTCACCAATCCTCTGAGCTCATTAAAACACTGTAGAAAAGTTGTCGACCTTCTTCTTTCCTATAAATACTTTCACGGGAAATGTTCTTCAGAAATATCTGCTATCATTCCTAGCAATACCAGTCCATACCATTCAGACGGACTCGACAAGTCCATTCAGCAAATCCCTTTGTTGATAACCTTGAAATGCGAATTTTATACAGATTTCCTTACGTGCGCTCCAAAAGATAGAGAGTACTCAAAATGAAGAATATATTCGTAGAATGCCATATTGTAATTTGCAATAAGAATGCCATATTGTAATTAAACCAAAGGATGAAATAATGAAGTTCCTGTGCTTCATAAATGGAAAGAGGAAAAGATTGCGTTAGCTTTGTTGAATTATTCACAAATTTCATTAAGACGTTTCATTAATAAACTCCATATTATGAGTATACTGACGAATTTCAATTGAAATCATTAACATTCAGCCGTAGGAGAGCAATTTTGAATCGATATGTTGAGATAAATTAGAGCAGTAAGTGCAATAGGTATGTCAATCGACGAACACTATTGACTATTCCATAATCATTTTTTAATACGAAGAACGATAATACAGGAATTCAAACCTCCAAAACAACCATCTTATTGTCGAAATTATAAATGTCACGAAGAATACCGCTAAGGAACAATGTTGGTTGGCCTTTTGTGAATTATTTTCGATTATTCATTGATAGAGCCACCTCGTGGTCATCTGTGGAATATGGGATAGTCAATTGATTCGATTCAAAGTAATCTTGTTCAGCTGAATGAAGCATTTGCATAGACCCTCAAATGTATTTCTGCAATGAAGATTACACACTTTTCTAGGATATGCAAGGGTCCTGAATGGAAGCCAGGAATTTTCGTTCAATTTACTAAGGAGGGTGGCATAGCTAGAGAAGCGGGATTGAGGCCTGGAGATCAAATATTGCAATGCAACAATGTGGACTTCCTGGATATACCATTCAATGAGGTAGAGTATCATTCAAAATATTCAGTTAATAGTAGAGATACCCCATTTCAAGAAGGAGGAGGTCGAAGTGATCGGATTTACCGTCCCAATTCGATATTTCGAAGATTTTTGGGATATATTTATGTAGAATACTTGAAATACCATATCCACCCAACTAAGTTTAGGTTCAGGTATTAAATGTATCAGTATACTCAGGCGACTTCGAAGGACATAGTTGAGGGTTTTGAGGATGGTAACTATGTGCCAACAACATGGTGTAATGTGTCTGAGGCCTTCGATTTTGTTTTCCATGATATTCTCTTTGAAAAGTTGTCAAACTGCGATTTTTGAAGTTTGCCAAAACCTTTTTCAGATCATACTCATCTGGTCACAAAAGATGAGATAGACAAAAGTTATCCATGGTGTGCCGCAAGGCTTCATGTCAGGTCCACTTTTGTTTATTGTTCATCTCAATGACCTGTTGCATAACATGTTCTCCAGAAAATGTGTTGCTTTTGCAGATGATACATCTTTGTGATTACTTCTGGTGTCAATTCATATGTCTTCATTCTACAAGTGAAAACTATGTTCTATCAGCCTCACAATGGCTTGCTTGAAGTTTAATGTGGGTAAAAAAAACAAAAACTTCAATTTCTGCTAACAACTGATATATTCAGAAAGAAAATGTGGAATTACTCTGCGTGATCATTGATGACATACAGAGTTGGGTCAGTCATATATTGCAATTGAGCAAAAAGCTCTTGTGTGCAATTTTTCTGAAGAAAAAACGAAAAACTCTTTTTGATTCACATATCAGATATGGTACTTCACTGTATTTTATCTAACTGCAGTCATGCTGTGAGGATTTTCATGTTTCTTAAACTTGCAGTCATAATTGTAGCACGCGTCGAATTCAGGAGTATCAGCGGCGAAGCAGTCTGAAGAATGTTTAGTCCAAGCCACACCATCCAGTGCCTACCATAAAATATGATTCCTGGAACTGCAACAACTCTTCTACCCATCATAAAATGGCATACAGCTCACACGATCGCTTAATGAATTCTCATTTCACAGGCTGTAAGTCTCATGAAGAACTCTCGTCAACTAGACCTCGTCATTCGGAAAGCCTCAAGTGCCGAATTGTTTCCGGGAGAATCCAGTGGATACAACAGCTCGGCCAGTTCTGTCACCGAAGACCAGAGCCCATCTTGGTCGGATTCCAAGCGGCTTTCCATGGTCAAAGAAGAGAATCAAAATTTGGGGTTACGGTTCAAGGAGAGGCTTGCACAAAAAGGTGAATTATTGATAGCATGAATAGTATTTTTGTGGTATCCAAACTGAATCAGTTAATTTTTGTGTTGAAAAACATTTTACTACGGTATATTACATTGACTTGTGGCTGTGACATTTTGACGTCAGCATAGTCTCTCCCCAGTGAACACAAACATCCCTGAAATGTCACATTCATGCCTCCCTAGGTATGCGAATTACAACAAAACATCATTGGTATTGCCAGGGGACTCTTATTCATTTTATAAAACATTCGCAATATTCGTCACTTTATATTAGATTTGAGACTTGAAATGTTGATGAATTTAAGAGGCTCCCTAACAATCTAGAGACTCACTGGAATACATTCTGGTCTATTTATGTAACAAACGAAATTGATCAGTTCTGATGTTGAATGAGGAGTCGCTTGATACGTGCTGTGAGTTTTTTTTTTTTTTTTTTTTTTTTTTTATCGCTTGGAGCGCACGAAAGGGAATCCCTATAATGTTCAAAGAACATCGTGCGTTCCTTGGGAGGATAGGGACAGGAGGTAGGTATTGGAATTTTTTTTGAACTTCTGGAGATTATATGTTGTTGGGAATACTTCCACAGGCAATGAATTCCAGAGCCTAGCCGTTCTATGGATGAAGGAGTCTTGATGAAGTGCTGTTCGACATCTTTCGAGGTTGACAACGAAAGGATGTGCTGACTGGCATCATAATGTGAATCATAAAATGACCAAAAGGGTCGGGAGTAGCAGTCATTGTGATTTCACTGGGACTCTCATTTCGAGTCACGGGTGTGACTATTTCACCTTCACGAAGCATAAATAGTTATTTATTATACAAGGGAAAAAAGTCGTAGATTTTAGCTCCAGGTTGTGTTGGCTCCCGACGCGTAGCGGAGGGAGACAAAAAACCGTGAGCTAAAATCTAATATTTTTCCCGTGTATAATACACTATTTTTTTCTGTGACAGAATAAAAGACGAATCGATATTGAGAAGATATTACATTATTCTGAAATCTGAAAATTATCGACGAGAAATTTCAAGTTTTTAACAGTAGGGACACCTGCGTTGTATAGGCATCTTTATCATTCTTTTGAAGTAATCAAATATCTGATGTCACTTCTGTCAGTCTAAATTTGTGATTTGATTCCAAAAAATTGCGAATTTAGTGGTTATTTAGTAATATACGTAACCGCGAGAAGTCAAATGGAAGATAAAAGGACTTGCGGTTCTTTCTCGGAGACGGTATTATTGACTCATTTTTCGGAACTATAGCACAACATAAGCAATCAACAGTGTATATTTTTGTGATATATATCCGGGAAAGAAGTACTCACTTTTTTCCCACGGGAAAAAAGTAATTTATGAAAAGTGACATTTTATAACCTGCCAACAGAGATGAAATGCCAAACTTTTTTCCCGTCACAGAAGAATAGTTATTTACACTACAAGGGAGGCAAGTGATACTTACCAGTCGAGGACATTGTTTGCGCCCGAGCGAAAGCGAGGGCTTGCAAAATAGTCCGAGACTGGTCAAGAACACTGCCTCCCGAGTTTTGTATTATATTTTTTCTACTCCAGTTCCCTTAGATTAAAAAAAATGTTTTTCAATTACTTATATAATTTGACTAATCTAACTGAAAAACCCTGTATGTATGACAGGTTTCCTAGTGTTACACGTTGATCGCTATGGAATTCATATTGTTTATAATCAAACAAATGTTCTGTCAGTGTCATTTTATTAAAAAAATCGAGGTAAATATTTACTTACCTCCCTAGGGAGGTAGAACGTGTTTTCCTCCCTCAAATCAGTATCAAAATGAAGTACTTACCGAGTAAGGAGTAGAAAAAAGCATTTATTATGAATGAGTGATTCATTCTGACAGCCATAATTATTTCATGCCTAACTGACAGACATTGCTTCGCTATACATGGTTCACGCGATAAGCACAAGTTGTATCTGGCCTATGTGATGGGTGAAATAGTCAGGAGAAGAAGATGTCGAACTGACGTCACTCTGCTAGCTGTACCTAAATAACGAAAGGTGACATATTATTTTATTCTCAAGTAGACTGTAGAACTCATCAAACTGAACCATTTCATTGAAAATCTTATTCAGACAAATTGCGAGATAATGTTGGTATAGACAATTGAACATGTCACTGATTGTTGATAAGGATCTGGCGTGATCGCTATATCCTCCTGACTCCACGAGAGTGCTCTGATGTAGGTAGTCTCTGGACTACGAATATTCTGAATTCAGTGAGGACATGAATTTACTACTAAAAAAAATATTATGATGAACTGATAGAGAAGGAATTCAAGTGTAAAAGTGTGAAATAGAATAAATAGATATAGGATATTATCAGGATGTCATGTCAGGAAGAAGGTATATATATGGACTCTATCACAGAGGATAATCATTAACACTGACTCCTTGAGGGTTTTGTGTATAGTCAATCCAGAAACTATCGACTCTTTCTCACGGAGGTTATGAATACTGATTGCATGAGTGCTCTGTAGTCTCATTCAATCTTAGAAGAAAAAACTTATATGATGAAATGATAGATAGGGAGGTCAAATGTAGACGTATGAAACAGAATAAGTACTTTCTCGCCTACGTCACCCATATATGGCAAGTTTCATTAAAAAAACATGGAGAATCTCTAGCTGTCACGTTGGACATATTGAAAGCATTCGACCGTGTTTGCCACCAAGGACTCCTTCACAAACTACCACCTTAGCTATGTCATCTCTTATCGAGTTTTCTCTCAGGCAGATCGCTCCACGTGGTGGTAGACGGAGTATCGTCTGATACTATTGCTATCAAGCGTTACACAAGTATCAATTTTGGAACCAACATTGTTCCTACTTTATATCAATGATCTGTAGGGAGCTATCATTCACCCTATCCACAGCTTTACAGATGATAGTACTTTCCATACTGCGTTCTCTTCCAGAGTTCCTATTTCTTTCTAGAAAACTGAGAACTCGCGGAGAAGGCTGTCAATGAAGATCTTGCTGAGATCACAACATGGAGAACCAACCACCTAGTTGAATTCAATGCCACCGAAACTCAACCCTGTATTTTCTTTAGAAAAGTGGAACTCAGTATGCCTGATGTCTGGTACCACCATTTTCACCAAGTCCACTATATCTATGCTCGGTATTTCCATTAGCAATACTCTCAATCCATTCAGAGAAGAGGCATCCGCCTGGTGGGTGATGCCACACTCACTAACTCTCTGACATCATTGGAACACCGTAGGAAGGTCGGCAACCCTTCACTTCTATAGATAATATTCTTCAGAATCTCTGCTATCATACCATCACTAGCAAACCCAGTCAGACTAACTCGACAAGCCCAGTCAACACATCCTTTCATTGATAACCCCGAGATATGTCTAACTCGTTTGTCTATAGAACGGCAAAGCTCTAGAATTCATGGCCCAAGGAAGTATTTCCAAAAGTTCAAAAAACTTCTAATACCTTTCTCCCCTCCCTATCCTTCCTAGGTACGCACGATGTTCGAGAATAATAGGGAGGGGTTCCCTTCCTCGTGCGCTCCAAGCGATTAAAAAAGTACATAATGTAAATTTTAAGGATTTCATGTCAATCCAAAACTATGGACTCCGAATCTGAGTGGAAGTCTATTCGAATAGTTCAGTTGTTGTAACGTTATTGTGGTACAATTATATTTCTGTGCATTTGTGTTTTTTTATTACAGTCAGCCTGTTTCAGATTCAACGAGTACAAAATGGAGTCTATCGGAATGGGACGAAGAACCTATCGAAAAAAGTGTATTCAAACCGACGATAATAAATCTTTCCGAAAATGGAACAACGATAAGGATTAATGGATACGAGTGCCAAACAATACGAAACGAAGATGATAGTCAAATAGAAAATAACGGGAATAAGGTGAGAACAGTTCATTTCAATTGTTACAATTCAATTATCATTTAGGTTGATATTCAGGTAATGATATTGAAACTGCGGGCCATAATGGCTACATAATTCAACGAACTACGTGATAATAAACATGCCCTTCAGATCCACCTGTGAACATTCACGAGCGTATATAGGGCTGTTCCTTAGCGAAGAATGCTGTAACAGATTGCACTTGGACATTGTATCAGAACTAGGAATTCAGTACTGAATTTCGATTTGCTTCAAATTTGAAACTATCATAATAAGTCAAATGTTCCTAATTCTTGCAGTGTGATTTCACAAGATTTTATGAAATTCAATGGTTAATCAAACGCGATTCATGAACCATCTGAAAACTTGTTTTAGTAGTACAGTTCAGGAAAAAATGGTCAAATCGTATATTCTTTTCCAAGAATACTAGGGTTATCACATCTGAAGGGGCACTATTTTTTTACTTTTTGTGGAGCGCACGAAAGGTACCTACTTATTGGAATTTGATTTTTTTAAATAGATTATAATGTCGTATATTCCGAATGATCAGGCATCAAACAGAAATTCATAGAGCAAGAATGTATATTTTGCTCTATACAATGAGGCGCATGAGAGGACTATTCAATTTTTCGTTCAGAACCGCAAGTGAACTCTCTACAGGGTGTCCCGAGATTACATAGACAGATTTCAACCACATATTCTTGGTACGAAAATAGTAAAAAAAGTGTATATAACCATGGGCCCAGAAATGGCCTCCTGGGGAGTTATAGACATTTGAAAGACGGGGCCCGAGATCATGTTTGTGTAAATATTTTCTAAAACCCTCTGTTCTGTAATGAAATGACCAAATTTTGTGAATGTGCCTAAATTGTATTCAATTTGAAAATTTTAAAAATGCTCCGAGATTTGATTACGGATGTGGTTTATGATATTTTCGGCACTTTGACCAGGAAATATGACAATATCATCTCTCCCTACTCAGAAATTGTACGGTACTTGTTTAATTCCGATAGCACTCACCATTTTGGAGATGAATCGATTTTAATAGCCGGCTGCCTATAATAAAAATAGTAGATTTTCTTATTAGGATACCAACCATATTATTTTACAATTTATTATTTTCATTGTACCCCTCATATTCAAGTTCAAAGATCGGAAGTAGATGTTAAAAGAAGAGGTATTTTCCATCAAACTATGATTTTCGGGAAAATTCGATAACTATAGGTGAGAAGCATTATTTTTAATACGCAGCAAAATTTTAAACTCGATTCATCTCGGAGTGTTTTGATGCTATTGTCACGACTAGGGTTATCTTCTTAAATTTCATTTGAATTCATGAAGGGTTCGAAGTCATTGAACGGTCACGTCTTCGTTTATCAATTCCAAAATTTTCGAATTATGAACGAGTTTTTTTTTCATATTAGTTGAACATGAACAAAGGCGTGACATTGACTTCAACGAACCTGGACTATCGACCTGATTTCCTTACTGTCTCGTTTCCGAAAATATAGACAACCGAGGGGTAAACCGCTGACCTAAATGGTGTACACTACTTCCTTAAAATCGTATACTTCCTCATACTTCCTTTACTTCCTTGATACTTCCCGTACTTCCTTGATACTTCTCGTGCGTCCTCGATACTTCCCGTACTTCCTTGATACTTCCCGTACTTCCTTGATACTTCCCGTACTTCCTTGATACTTCCTATACTTTCTTATAATTATTCCTAATATAATTCCAGAGACCCTGAACACGCCATTTAAACCATTCAAATGATTGAACACCGCGTGATTGTGCCTTCTACAAGAAAATTTTAACAGAGGTGACCTCAGAATTGCTACAGCGTAGAACTTTGGGTGGAAAAAAGGGTCTCACTTGAAATTTTATCATGATCACAATAATTTTTTGCATTGCTGCTATTCGATAATATGATAATAATGAAAAGAGTACATGAAAACTAGAAGAAAAAATCAGGAAAAATCTGTTAGAACTACAAAAATACTTCTTCATTTGTAAGAACATACCTGCATTTTCAATCTGTGACAAGACAAGTAAGAGATCGAGTACTAAAGAAATATCTAAATAATAAGTAACTATATCACAGAAAATCAAGACATTATTCATCTGAAATAAATATTAATGTGATACCTTGTAATACCTTGTATACTAGTGGAGACTTAAATATTCGTACATCGAGATATACATGGAACAGTGGAGATGACAGATTTTCGCGTACTTGGGTACAGTCAGTTGTAATTGTTTGGAATCGAGATTTGAATCAAGTAAATTATATCAAATGGAATATAGCATTGAGAGAAATTGAATTTGAAAATAGACCGTAACTCAAAAATAATGAAATAACTTCAGCTACATATTCACTATTTAGCACCATGATTTCATTATACTGTCAAGTTGTTGTAATTGCATTTTCTACCAAAATAATTGCCCCTACGCCTCTGATATTTCCTCTGCTTTTGCTCAATCCGTGTCAGAAATTCAACTGCTATAAACACAGGACAACTGCAAGTTGAATATCAAACGAATTTGTAACTTCCAATACCGTTGCACGAATCAAAAATACGTAATGATCCACCTCATATCTCATGTTTGATTCGATATTGAATAATCAACTAACTCAGCGATTTAGTGAAATACTGAATGTATAAAAGCAATTAGGCACAAACTGACTTGGAATTATTGAATAAGCCCGAGGGGTAAACCGCGGTGAAATTCTAGTGTACAAACAACTGGATTTTCTTGAAATCCTTTGGATTTCCTTGGAATTCTTTGGGTGGGGTTCGACTGCCATTTCGACTTCCAGTTCGACTGATAGTTCGAGTACCAGTTCGAGTTATAGTTCTAGCTCTGTTTTTGCTATACGAGTTAGGGAAGTCTAAGTTCTACCGATTGTGAGTTTATAAAGTTTCCACTGTACCCGAATCTTCGGAGTTCGGGCAGAACAGAAGATGCCCTTCCCCACATCAATATTAGTTCATTTGTACATATAAGTTGAGTTTTCATTTAATTGTTATTTATTTCCAAGAATGAATGTGTGTATATGTGTTTGAAAACCTTTTGAGAATTATTTTTTCATTATTCTCACTTATGAAGTTCATTCTCTGATGGACCTAGAGCACAACTTAGGCAACCCCCGCCTACAGTTTGTGACACTATCGAAACTAAACATGAGTATGATTTTCAAATAATCATTTTGGGATTTACATAATTCCTGGTCAAACTGCCCAAAAATTGCATGAACAAAAAAGTTTGAAGCCTATCTCCAACGCCGGTCAAGCACCCATAAGCAACGCGCACGGTAAAGACTATAGAAAGCTATATGAAGAGTTGGAAAGCGACCCCATCATGGGAATGCCAACGGATGGCATAATTCCAAAATATAGCTTTGAAAAAACTTTTAAAATAAGTATAACGGACAGAGAGGCATGGAAGGAAGGACCTCCTATCAATGCAGACATTGCTGTCTATACGGACTGCTCCAAAACTGAGTTTGGATCAGGAGCTGGTATTTATGGGGCCAAGCCAAAGACAAGAATCTCACTGAGCTTAGGTAAATACGCGACGGTGTTTCAGGCAGAAATTATTGCAATACATCATTGCGTGAAAGAATTGATAAGGCAATAGTTTAAAGGCAAAACCATTGCAATCTATTCAGATAGCCAGGCGGCAATCAAAGCAGTCAACTCTATGCAAGTTAACTCAAAACTAGTATGGGACTGCTTAGAAACCCTAAATGCACTGGGCAGTCAGAACAGACTGACTCTAGCATGGGTACCAGCACATACAGGGTACGAGGGCAATGAAGAGGCAGACTCACTTGCCCGAGCAGGAGCAAACAAAGCTCTGAATGGCCCAGAACCCTTCTGTGGTATTGCGAAAGCTATACAAAAGACTAGTATCAAATCATGGATGCAAACCAAATCTCAAGAATGGTGGAACAAATCGCCAGGAATGAGACAGGCAAAAGAGTTTATCAAAAAACCATCGCCAACATTCACAGAATATCTACTAAGCCAGAAACGAAGTTCAACTAGAATACTAGTGGGACTTCTCACAGGGCATTGTAGGCTCAACAAACACATGAGTACGATAGGTCTGACTGAAGAACTGCTGTGCAGGTTCTGTCAGGAAGAAGAGGAAACAGCAGTACACATACTTTGCCACTGTGAGGGCTTGTCAAGACTAAGGTTCCTTACGCTGGGTGAGGAAAAACCAGAAGCCCAGAGATACACAGGGGATCTGAAAGCTAGCCTATGGAGTCTCATAGAGAAGACGGGGCTAGCCAAAGAACTCTAATCGATTTTGAGGGCAGACACAATAGATCTGAAAAGGTGGCGGTGTGGAGGCAGATAGCCCGAAGGCCCCATTCTAAATCTAATCTAATCTAATCTCCAACGCCCCTGATCAAAATTTCGAAAAATCGTCAATATTCTCAAATCGGGCATAAAAAGTCAGGCATTGTACAAAATTAGAAAATATTCACATGAAACCATCACCTCGGGCTCTTCTTCAGATTGCTATAAACCTCCATCAGGAGGCCGTTCCTGGACTTATGTTTATATGAATTTCTTTCACTAGTTCTGTTCATACAATCTGTGGTTGAAATCTTTCTGTGTGATTTAGGGTTTCCTGAAATATATGTATACGATTTTTTCAAATGCAACTGTAATATTGCAGGTGCTTCCAAAGGTTGACACCAAAACAGTAGTGGAAGTCCACAGGAGTGACGAAGTTGAGCATAATAACCCTCCGAATAGATTGATGAAGAGTTCTTCGAATAGCAGTCTCACAAGCAAGGCCAGCTTCACAAGCGCAGCGAGTAGCAGTTTATCTTCTGCGATATCGATGGAAATCCAACGAAGAGTAAAGGTGGGTTCTCTCTCACATTATTAAATTCAGATGATTAATGCAGAATGGTGGGTTAATCGATTTGATGATTCCATACAGCGGAGATTAGCAACATCTTATTGTTTCACAGTATTCATTCACAAACAAACTATGTTCAATGTCATGAGGGAAGCTTTTTTACACCTTAACAGTTTCGTATAATCTACAAAGCTCAGGTTTTATTTATACAGGGTGTTTCAAAACAGATTATTCGCTTGCCAGGGTAGGTAGAACACTGCAAAATAATTTGGGTTTGCTGAGTAAAGAAATGTCGTTACGCCATCCGCTTTCAAAATACATTTTTTACACATTTTTCAAGATTATGTCGTAACTACTGGCAACATTGTGATGGAATTTTGTATGGACATGTTCTGGAAGCTGACACATCGCATGAATTGTTTTTTAACTGACTCTAATAGAGGGCGTAGGTTACACGGTTCGTACCGAGTAATTTGACATAACTTTTTTGAGGTTAGCTTTTTCAAGACCAAAATTCATGTGAACATCATTCAATTCAACATCAAGAAGGTACTTCAGATGAAACTCAATACTGTGTACCGATTTCGGAATATTTTGATTTTGAATCAATTGATGCTGAACAATTACCTATTCATTCAAATTCAAGGCAGACAATAAGGCAGGCAATTTACATTTACTGCTTTGTGAAACTTCCGATTTTTTTCCAAATGTTATGTAACTAATTTTGTGTAATATTTTCATTGAAAACTCCATCATTTTGTGTTCAGCCAATGTCAGTGTCAATGTTGATTACCAGTTTGATTCAAATTCCTTGGAACGTTGCATAGCAAGAAACTTAACCTGCATAGGCAGAAAAAGTAGACCTTTCCTGCCTGTTGAGTAAGTATCAGAGAGAAGCCACTTTCCTGCCGCTTGGAGAAATGGTAGATTTTTTTTATTGGGAACAAAACTGACAATTTGTTTGACAAGCCAATTTTGCATTTGCGAGGCGGAGCGATTAGCGAAGCAAAATCTCAACATTATACAGGGTGTTTCAGATTTAAATGTACAAATGATACCTGTAGATAGGGGACACTTCGGTGGTTCCAATTCACCACCCATTGATATGTCTACCGTCTTTTATAACTGAGATACAGGACGTTATCTTTATTTTGGCAAAATCTTCATCTGGTTATAACTTTTGAACCACTTTGTATAATTTATCCATACTTGGTAGAAATATTTCACTTATATTACCCATCAAAACCATATAAAAATCCGCATCAGAATCCAGGTCCGTCTTGAGGAAAAGCTTCTTTTATCTCAAAAACAACACCTTGTATGGCAAAATTGTGTAGGGCAGTTTTGATATTTGGAAAGAGCGGGAAAAAAAATGAAATACATGACCTACTTCTCACGAGTGCGCATCTAATTTGACAGATGGTTTATTATCAAGTTTTGAAATATTCAGCTCCATTACGAGGCATTTTTATTGAACTTATAATTCAAAATTCAATTTTAATACAAAAAAATAACAGTCTTCAAAGTTCAACATCATCAGAGTCGAATTAAGGTTTAGTAGGCTGTGCAAAAAAATCTGATCTTCTGACAGGTCATAATCACTAGTGTGATGTTATTGGTAATGTTGAGATAATTATTACTGGTGCTTGTATTGGGTTGTTACATTTCAAAGTGTTCATAATTGTGCCTACAATAACTTTACCAATAATATCGCCGCAACTATAGTGATTATGAACTGTCAGAACTTTTATTTTTTCTCCACAGCCTACTTTACCGCAGCTTATGAATAAATAGTGAAGTATAAAATGAGTCCTCGAAAGTTTTTAAAATCATCGACAAATTATTCTGTCAAACAAACAAATTTATCGATAGTTCACCTAATTTGACTCTAATGACGTTGAACTTTGGAGACTGTTATTTTTCTGTATAAAAATTGGGTTTTGAATTATGAGTTCAATAAAAATGCCTCGAAATGGAACTGTATATTTCAAAACATGATAATAAACCATCTTTCAAATTGGATGCGCACTCGTAAAAAGTAGGTCACTTCATTCATTTTTTCCGCTCTTTCCAAATATCGAAACCGATCAATAAAATTTTGCCATACAGAGTGTTGTTTTTGAGATAGAAGAAGTTTGCTGTTTTTCCTCAAGACGGACCTAGATTCTGATCCAGATTTTCACTTGGTTTTGATGGGTAATATAAGTGAAATATTTCTACCAAGTATGAATAGATTATACAATGTGGTTGAGAAGTTATAACCAGATGAAGATTTTGACAATATCAAGATAACGTCCTGTATCTCAGTTATCAAAGACGGTAGACATATCGATGGGGGGTGATTTGGAACCACCGAGGTGTCCTTTATCTACAGGTATCGTATGTACATTCAAGTCTGAAACACCCTGTATAATGTTGTAGATTTTTTTTTCGATGAAGATGAGCGTATTCACGCTCGAAACATATACGATTGTTATGATGTGTGACTAATATTTTTAACTATCTTATTTGAAGATAATTATTTTCTCAGATCAAGACCGAGAAACCCGAGGAAGTGCCTATCGATGAGCAAATCCAGAAGAAAAAGTTGCTGAGGAGTATAAGCACTGATCAGCAGTTTCAGCACAGCAAACTCATGAATGAGTTCAAACAGGCCCACCAAAAAATGTTTAAATCTAATGGTGAAGTGGACTGCCCCAAACAGGATTTGCCAGCTTTTGGTAAAGAAACAATGGTAGGTTGATAACTGAAATGATAAAAAATTGCCTGTATACCTACTATTGATATTCGAAGTCTTCTACGAATGTACTCGAAAATATTCGTATATTTTTAAATAACCTACCAGAAACATTTCCTCTACTTCAGTTTCAGAAGATTTATAACAGTATTGATTCACTTTATTTCTGAAACATCAAGTGAAAGTGCTACTGAAATTTCTTGAATTTTTTTCACAGGAGCGTTTGGCCCATAAAGAACTATCTCAAAAATTATCTGACAAGTTGCTCAACCTGGCTAGTACTCCTTCGAAGGATGATAATACACTCCAAAAGGATAATGCTGTACAACCACCACCTCCACCACCCCCTGTAAGTACAACATGAAAAGTACGAATATTTTCATGCAACTATTCTGCTGCTGAACCGAAATAAAAGATGGAAATTTGATAATACAATGAAATTATCCACTAACGTTTGGCTAAAAGGTTTTAATCACGTCAGAAGAATTTATATTGATGGCAAACTTTATCAATTTTAGTAGATAATTTAACAAATTTCGAACGTTGAATATTCATAGTTCCGTTAATAATATACATAAAATTTAAGAAGAATATTATACTATCAATTATTTTGAAAATTAGTTCGGAGATTAGTATTCAAATATATAATTTGATTTCAATGTTTCTATATCATCAATTGAATAAATAAGGGTATCCGGAAAGGTCATGTCATAAATGATAGGGCTGAAAGAGAGAACCGAAATAATGTTAGTACTTCATATAAAAAAATGTTTATCGCACATCGTTACGCAGCTATTGACCTTGAAAGTTTGAATGAACACATATATTCCATGTATAACTTTCTAACGGTTGCCATGGTATCGATGATATTTGGGCAACTAAATGAAGTCATACAGATATGTAAACTACTGTTCAGTGATTATGATTTATACAGGATGGGACGATTTTTTGTTTTGAATAACTCTAACCTTACTTTCTAACCTCATTCTTGTCTGCCACCTCCATCTTCAAAACCTATATCATTTGGTCAAGACTAACAAATCTGCGAATATTCAAATATAACCTGATTCTTCAGTTGTGTGTTGTTCTTATATGTTATCCGCAGTGAGTATTCAGTCCAGAAAATTCAGATCATATTTTGATAAAGATCAGAAATATTCTTGCACTTGTGTTACAGAAATATAGGATGGATACGTAAGTCGAATCTTATATGGTTGCATTAGATTGATCAAGGTAGATGACGTCACTTGTTTTCCTGCGTTTTTCATGTCATGAAGTATTGTCAATTTCAATAATGAATTTAGAAATGTACAGAGCTCTGAGGTTACAACAGTGGACTAAATAGGTTCAGTACTTCGAAATAATGAATAGAACTTTTTCACTGATACTAATAAACTGCCGTGAAAGTGTTTCACCCTAAATAGGGCCCTCGTCAGGATCGGTACTGTTGATCACCTCAACTCATAACACAGCACAATTTGGTACAAGGAAATATTCCATCATGCAGATTTCAGCACTTTACCGTGACTTTTTCATTTCTAAAACCTAATATATTTGAGGTTATCGCGTTTAGGGCCATTTTGGTGCAACCTTGATATGTCAGTTTTTCTATTCTCTTATTTCCACTTATTTCTGACTCTCAGATCCAGATTTCGAGATTGATAAACTTGGACAGGACAAAATTCATACAGTCTACTCCACCAAAACTATACTTTATTGTAAGCAAACTTACGGGGACATGTTTCGAAGCTTTAAAGTTTCATCATCAGCGTTTTTGTTACATAGGAGCACTAAAGTGAGAGAAATACAAAGAACAATGTCAGACAATCCTCTCAACAACGATAGGTCTAAAAAACTCACCTGTTCTGGAGGAAAAAAGTTATGTTCACATATTCAGATTATCGAGGAAAATGTTTCAAAAAATGATAATAAAGATAAATGGGGCCGCAATTATTGCGGTACCCCTTTGTTAGGGAACTTCGAATGTCATGATTATAGTAGGTAGATTCAGATCAAAATTGAAAAAAGTCTTATCTGTTCATGCCGAACTCTTAAAAAGACAAGAAAACAGATGTCAAAAACCAAACATCAAACGAATGGCATGACTTTGACATGAAGTGACTGAGGTGATGTTCCATGATTTTTGACATCTCATTTTTCTTGTCTTTTTAAGAGTTCGGCATGAACCCATAAGACTTTTCTCAATTTTGATATGAATCTACCTACTATAATTATGATATTCAAAGTTCCCTAACAAAGATTCCGCAATAATTGCGGCCCCATTTAGCTTTATTATCATTTTTTTAAACATTTTTAAATAATCTGAATATGTGAAAATAATTTTTTTCCTTCAGAACAGGTGAGTTTTTTAGACCTATCGTTGTTGAGGGGTTTGTCTGACATTGTTCCTTGTGTTTCTCTCACTTTAGTGCGCCTATGTAACAAAAACGCTGATGATGAAACTTTAAAGCTTCGAAACATGTCCCCGTAAGTTTTCTTACAATAAATTTTAGTTTTGGTGGAGTAGACTGTATGAATTTTGTCCTGTCGTATTGCCTTCACTCCACATGGATTGCCTCAGAGGATTTATAAACTTTCTGAATATCAATCGAAAAATTCATGAATGAGCAATCTGGTTATTATTATTATTTTAATTCCAATTACCCAGTAATGCAATTTTGTGAATTTCCATATGGCTTCGGAATAATCAGAAGCAGAAACATCATCCTTTATGGCTCATTTATCGTCATCTAATACTCCTTCGCTTCTTACTCATCTAGAAATGAGAAATGCCTGAAACGAGATGATACAGGAGTTCAATGTGTCGATGGTCACTTCGAAATGGCACTTTCAAGTGTTTCGAGAAGAATACATTTGTTGGTCGTTTAAGGTTTTCATACAGTTAGTAATTTGTTGGCTCAACAATTCCATTCAGAGCCATGCCATAATGCCACAATCAGAGGCTGAGCTTCGGATTCCTTGGTGCCAATACGATCCAGCAGAAAGATTCAGTTTTGACACTGATGAGATCTATACTTATCCACAGTTTTGAATAGATGAAGAGAGATTTATTTCGACTCGGTGTATTCCTATCATTTGAGTCTCCCGGTAGTATTCAGATTCGTATTTTAAATATTTTTGGATCCCATCATCTTCAATTATTCGGATTATTGAACAGATGGAGCAAGTGGAGCAGACAGAATATACATGAAGTAATATTAATTTTTAAATTTACAGCCTCAATTGATGACAGCCGATTTCCCAATCCCCACCCCTCCCAAACCCCCTACTATCCCCACCAATACCCTCAAAGTCACCAAAACCAAACCCAAAGCCCCCCCGGTTCCTGCCAAAACCTCCACGCTATCCTTCCGCCAGCCTCCGCCATGTCCCACTCCCGATTACGACACTCTAAGCCTGTCCTCAACCTCCTCCACCATAAAACCTAGTCAAAAACACGAGGAATCAGTCGAGATGGACTCCTTGGACTCCTACAAGATCCAGAACCCCGCGAATTCGCCCCCGAAGCCACCCTCCACGTATTTCCAGAGTTCTTCGATGTCTACGGAGAAGTCCAAGGGGGTCAGTGTGACCATCGGGGAGTACGGAACAGTAAGGAGTTCTCCCAGACGACTGAACTTCCTGAAGAAGGAGAGTAGCGATACGAGGAGGTGGGAGAATTCGCTGGCTAGTGAGCTGACGCATACGCTAAACAGGTCGAATTTAAGGAAGAGGACCGAGTCTATGGTGAGCTATTTGTATTTTCAAACCGGGTCTTGGACACGATATTATCATTTACGAATGTGAGGTGTTTATTTCAGCTTTTGCTGAGAGTTAGTATTGAATAGATTCAACTGATTCCCAGATGTCGTTGTCATAATGCTCGCATATTCTGATGAAATATTGGCAAATTCCATGTCCAAGGCATGTGATATGCATGTTCCAAGAATCTCCTCGGAAATATCCAGAGTCACTATGAAACATGAACAAATCATTTGTATTATGCAAAAAAATATTTGTAGAATATGCATTGAATATGTTATCAACATTATATATACAGTGTGTACGATATCAACTCGCAACACCCTCCCCATTTAGAATCTGTTGATCATTTCTCAAAAAACAAAAATTCGATAACATAATACTCAACAAGTTCACTCCGAATATGTGGTCTAATCCGGAATATAAAAATTTTCTTAGCCCATGATGAATGGGTCAAATTTAAAAAATTTCAGTATTTGTAGAGTATTTGCTTTTTAGTCATTCTATTCCTGTTTCATTCGACAGCTTTTTGTCAGTTGAGGCGATTTCCAAAGTAACTGTTTGATGAAGTGAGTCAAAGACAGATTTTATGAGACTCGAGATTTATTGATATTTGGATCTGCCTGTAGAACTCACAACGATGAAACATCTTATCTAAATATTCTATGTGTTTCTTCATTGAATGACTACTTCACTGTTTATATCAACTCCTCAGATTTTATGTGAGGTGATTTCAGCTATGCTTGACTATAATTCGCGGTAGTCGAGGTCATCATATGACGTTGTAGTGACATGAGAACTATGGGATAATATACCTAACATATACCCTAATAGCACACAACGTCCTAGGGACGTCCCTATTTGGTACAATTCACGTCCGAATGTCCCGAACCAAAAATAAGTGTCCTTGGGACGTCCCATCCCGTACATCTCATGCAATGTCCGAGTAAGGACGTCCACGGAATGTCCCAGCTGGTACATCATTTCAAATGTCCTAGAAATGGCATCCCTTAGACGTCCCACGTGGTACATATTGTAGAATGCCCATGCAAGGACGTCCTTGGCAAGTCCCTGATGGGATATGATTTTAAACGTTCCTTTAGGGACATCCATCGGATGTCCCGAGTAGTACATATACTGGCATGACTTCAGATCTTATATAATGTCCCTTCTAGACAACCATGAAATGACCCTGATGGTACATTCCTTCAAATATCTCTGCACAGGCGCCTTTAATATTTCCAGGATCGTATAACAATCGAAATGTCCCTTAGGGACGTCCTTCGAATGTCTGTCGGATGTCCCAATTGGTACATAAACTGTACTCTTCCAATGTCCTAGAAATAACGTCCTATGGACGTCCTAGTCGGTACTTTCAATATGTTGTCCCTGCGAGGACGTTAACTTACATCTAGCCGACGAATGATTGCTCGTAGGCTATAAGTACTCCTCGTCAATGTCCTTCACGTAAGTCCATTGGACATCCTTGGAAAACTTTTTGGGGACCTTCTACGGACCATCAACCCAAGTGGATGTCCTAATCAGTTATGCAAGATCTGGTCCTAAAGGGACCCAGACAAATTAAGATTCAAGAATAATTCGAACGTCCCTGGGACATCCTATGGACATCCAATTGATATCCCTCAGCGTTGCTGATAGGTTGTCCTATGGATGTCCTAAGGACGTCCTCTATAGTGCTTGATGAGGAATACTGTAGGATTTGGGTATTCGATAGTTGTCCCAGGGACGTCCCTCAAGGACGTCCCTTGTTGGTCCTCAAGTGGGACATTTGTGCGTCCCACAGACGTCCAATGGACGTCCACCGTACCAAATTCAAACGTCCTATGGACGTCCTGAATGTCCCGTCAGGACGTCCTAAGGATATCCATGGGACATAAGTGTGTTATTAGGGTATGGCTCAGATTGAAAGTTAGACATGCGTTCCTTTATAGCGAATTCCATCGGTAAAACTGGCTCGCAATGAGTGCATATTTTGTATTTCATTAGTGAAAATGGCGTCATTCGGGTAAACGGCATTCGCGTGCGGGAAGTATCACTTTCCACATTTTTTAGGAAAATCGCTATTACCATTAGAATCCTACATTATCCCTTATTAATATAGGTTGCTTGGCTACTTGCAACTACTTACTGCAACAAAGGTATTTTTTTTAAGGTACACCAACGGTGCGAACCCGGTATTCATATATCTGATTAATATTTCAATTTTATTATTTATTACATTCTTCAAAGAGGAAAAGATATACGACACTTTTCATCTTGAAATTTTGGTCAATTGGAGTTCATTCGAACTTCTGAAAACTGTTCGAACAAGTCACCATTTGCCGCCACGTATTATATTTGAATGTTTTCTACATATTTCGTACGAAAACTGGATATTTTGATTACATGAAAACTAAGCTCCCAACATTATTCCTCCAACTTCAACATTCTGTACTTCAACACTGAAGCAGGTTTTTACAAGAGCTTTTCCCCTAAGAAATAACGAAGAATCACTCGCACTTGATACAACCTGTATATCTCTTCTTGACTTGCTCGAGTCTGCCCTTTCATCAATCCAATCGAATCTGAACTATTCAGATGTGATAATACACATAGGCACAGATATTAGCTCGAATTAACATAATATTTGTATGATAATGAATCCAAATCTGAATTACTAATTAACGTGTTCACCCGGCACACTTATAACTCTTCAAACTGGCGAGTGTTTTTTCAATTTCTTGATACATATTTTCAATCCCTCCGTATAGCTATAGAATTAATCTGTGTAGGGCGGTACGGATTTCCATTATAGGTTTTCACACTGTATACAGGTAGAAAACAGACACTTTGATGGTTCCAGATCACACTCCATTGATATGTGTCTACCGTCTTTTATAACTGGCAAATCTTCATCTGGTCATAGTTTTTGAACCACTTTGTATAATCCATTCACACTTGGTAGATTCATTTCACTTATATTACCCATGAAAACTAAATGGGCTCATATCACAAAAAATGCTGATCAGAATTCTGAATCTTGAACCTCCTTGTATCTGTTCCGATTAAATATCTGTAAATAGTGAACCAAAAGTTGAGATAGGAACATGTGATCCGTTTTCACCGATAATGAATAGTTTCGGCACAAAAAAATCCTAAAGTTGAATAATCTCAATTTTGAACACCTTATATCTCTGAAATATTTTTGGATGGACTCCAAGTGTGATATTTGAATGAAATCAGCTTCTCAAGATGAATCTGGAAATGCGATGGAATACAGAGTGGTCCATTTGCAATATCAATGATGCTACTACTTTCTAGTAGAAGCGGCAACCCTGCATTGTCGACAATATTTTGAATGAGGAGAGCGTATTCTTGAATAGGAGCATGCACATTCTCATGGGTTTCTCCTGACTGATTCTCGATATAAAGATAGAGTAAGCTCGTAGTGACATACCCTGTATATTATTCCGTTATCAGATGACGGTCGAAATTTAGAGCTGCCTCTCCTATACTACAATCTTTACGAATATTATTCCCATTTATCAATACCTGTGGTTGACTGATTTAATGCTGTAGAAAAAGACAAATTCCTAAAACTTGAAACAGTTTCACTGACATTGAAACAAATGAGCTATTGACAGTTCTCCATACAGTAGTGATATTGACAGAAACAAATTTTGGGTCAATGAGCTGACATTATCATACCTTCCGCCTACTAACTAACTTCTCCATTTAGATCAACAATGTCCCCACAAATCCTATTCTCAATATTTTGTTATTCACCTATGATTCTCCATGTTGTTTACTTACAGGATGACCTTCTGAGCAGTCCCCAAATAAAGCCTCAGAGTAACGGCACCATTCGTATATCAGTGAACAACTTGTCGAGAGGATTTGCTAAATCGACCAATGATCTTACCGAAGATTTCGAATCCACATCATCCAGTCGGACTATGGTCAATATCGATCAGGGGAAACAGTCTTACGGTAATCAGAACTTTTTGTAAAATTGCTAGATGAATATACAGGGTGCTAGAATTGTTCTTGTTGTTGTTGTTGTTCTTTATTACTCCAAGAAACATTTTTGTTTATTATAGGGATATATGAACATATGATATAGGATCAGGATTATCAAGCCTTTTCAAGGTTAAGATCTTCTTGTAGGAATCTATCAAGAATGTGTTATGACAGTTATATAAGAGATGTGAATGCCAAACTGAATTCTGATCCCAAATATTTCTGGCAATTTATAAAACATAAGAAGTCATCGAATAGTCTACCGTCTACCATGTACTATAAAAACTCTATAGCAGGAAGCAATGAACAAATAGCAGAATGTTTTGCAAATTTTTTCTCTTCAGTTTACGATAGATCTTCAGTTCAACCTGATGACCTTAATTGTGTGAATAATAATTATATTTCGAATCCAAGCTTATCGGTTGATTTAGTATTTGATAAAATTACGAAAATTCCATCTAAACTCAGTGCAGGCCCTGATGGAATTCCAAATATGTTTCTGAAAAAATGTATTTACTCATTAACGTATCCACTATACCTAATCTTCAAGTGTTCATTAGCTCATGCAACTTTTCCGGATGTTTGGAAACACAGTTTTATTGTTCCAATTCATAAGTCAGGAGATAATGATAATATTCAGAATTATCGAAGTGTGTGTAACCAGTCATCTATTCCAAAATTACTAGACAGTTTGATTTCAGACCAGCTCAACTTTTTTTGCAGAGAAAGCTTGATAAATAATCAGCATGGCTTTTCTAGAAACAAGTCAACTATTTCCAATCTTCTGGTATATGAGCAGAAAATATTAAAAGTTTTGGAAGGTAGATGTCAAATGGATGCCATATACACTGACTTCTCTAAGGCATTTGATAGAGTAGATCATCATACTTTATTGATTAAGATTGGTAATTTTGGTTTTTCGGAACATCTAGTGAATTGGTTTAGAAGTTTTCTGACGGGTCGTACACAACAAGTCAAAATCGGGGAATACAAATCAAGAAATATTTTAGTGACATCTGGGGTCCCTCAAGGATCGCACTGTTCACCACTCCTATTCAATATCTTTGTGAATGACATTGGAAGCTGTTTCATAAACTGTGATTTCCTTATGTTTGCTGATGACCTGAAGTTGTTTAGGCCTATAAAGTCTATGAGTGACCAAATTCTCCTTCAAGCAGATCTCAATAGAATGTATGAATGGTGTGTTGTTAACAATTTGTATCTGAATGTCAATAAATGCTACTTTATCTCGTTCTCGAAAGTCGGAAGAAAATTTGATACTTCTTACAACATTAATAATCAGCAAGTAGAATACACATCCTCTATAAAAGATTTAGGAGTAGTTTTTGATGAGCAGCTTAGATTTGTTGAACACATAAACAAAGTCAGTGTGAAGTCTTCTAAAGTTCTAGGTCTAATTACGCGCAATTGGTCAGGTTTATCATTAGAAGCATTAAAAAGGGTTTTCTTATCACTTGTGATTTCTCAGTTGGAGTATGCATCTATTATCTGGTCTCCCATGTATCAGATTCACTCTACTTCCTTAGAGAGAGTACAAAATAAATTTTTGAGATTTTGTGCTTATAGATTAGGTATTCAGATACAAAACCACGATTACTCAGATATTTTACGTGAAGTTAACCTTAAATCGTTGGAAAAAAGAAGAACTCATTCAGATCTTTGTTTTGTATTTAAGCTTCTCAATGGACTTATATCATGTCCGGAATTACTCGAAACAATTAACTTCAACGTTCCAAACAGAAATCTTAGACATAAACTGTTATTTCACTTACCATTCCATTTTACAAATTATGGCAAGCATGCACCCTTGGAAAGAACTCTGAAGTTATTGAACGAAAAGAACATCAATATATTTGGATTGTCGTACGATATGTTTAAAAAATCATTGAGTAGCTTGTAAGTAGAAGAGAGTGGCATTTGATTAGTTATCGAATTTATAGTGTTAGTTTCATAGAGTTTCTAGTCTCATCTATTTCATGTGTTCATGTGTTAACTAGTTAAAGCCATTGTTGGATATACGTTTTATGTACTTATGTGTCTGGTTCACTTGACTGTGTTATTTATATTTGTTGAAATTATACTGTAATGGGGTTTATCCCGTGAATAAATAAATAAATAAAAAATATACAGGGTGTACGTTTCACCACCATGGGGATCTCAGTTATTATAAGAGATACGAGGTCGGTTCCCTAACAACACAGGGATGTCCTAGGTACGTCCCTTTTTTGTCCCGTGGTACAAGGACATGATTGGGGCATCCAGGGGATGTCGCGCATTGGTTGTCCAGTGGAAATCCCGCCCGGTCCATCCCTAGGTTATCCTATTCGTGTCCCTGGAATATCTGATATCCATTCACATCAGAGTAATTGAATTTCATCAAAGTATTAAGTTGCATTTTTTTGAAAATGTTTGTTTTTCTTCCGGAAAATAATCATAATGAAAATAAAGGATAAAGTTTCAGAACTTCTTAAGAAATTACCATTTTTCGCAAACAGAAATCGTACATGCATAATGCCCTTCATTTTTAAACACCCAAGAATGATATAATAATTATACCCAAATCCTAACAAAGTTGTATTTATTCAGGTTTGTGTAGTTTAGTCCTGTTTATAAATCTGTTTAGTACATAAATCTTCAGGAGGCTCAATAGCCAATGGAGTAAGATGCGTGCCTGATAAGCCAAAGGTCCCGGGTTCAATCCGTACTCGACCTACATTTTTTTTTGTCGAAGGGATGTCCCTGGGATATCCTTGAGACGTCCTAGAGATATCCTTCCTTCGTACTTGGTTCATTCCAGGGACGTACCAGAAGGACATCCCTATAATGCCTCTTTTTGTGGAAAGCGGATGTCCCTGGGACGTCCCTAGTATGTACCATGTTCCGACACAGGATATCCCAGGGACGTCCTCGTAGAAAATGAAAGACGTCCCTGGGACGTCCCTGGGACGTACTCGTGTTGTTAGGGTTGAACATGCTGAACATTTTTTCTACAAGAAAATTTGATGTCATTATTTGTTTAAGAATTATTCGAAGAAAACAAAGATTTATTTTTTCGTTTTCACATTTCTGAAATGTCTGCTTTTTCTGATTGGAATAATGTATCACACGATATAATCGAATATTTCCTGTTGATCAGAATTGGGAAGAAAGAGAGCTTTGGAAAGAACGCCAACAGTTCTGTTTAACAAGCTGAATTTCGACAGTTCATCTGAATTTGGAACGTTCATATTTTCGTCAAGCTCATCTTATTAAACACTATGGTTTTGAATTAGGAACGACGTAATGAGCTAGAAGTTTATTCTTCGCAAAACAAAACAAAGTCTGAACACAATTCGACGCGTTTCTTTAGATTCTGAATTGCACGAGATGTCCCGTCTTCTTATCTTAGTCCTAAAAGTGGTGATTATGGTTTTTCTCAGCTCATCAATATACATATATACAGTTGTGAAAATCAAATCTTCCATAGTTCCCAATAAATAATAATCCAGCGGAGAGAGATCAGGTATGACCGCGCTGGCCAACGTATGTCTCTGTTGCTAGATCTCATAACTAAGAGATCCAGGATGAACAGAGTTGCCCCAATTGTCAGCAGGAGCGAGACAGTACTGTTTCGACCCACCAGGTCTCATCAGTCGCTCTCGGTCTGCTGACAACTGGGACAACTCTACGCTTCGGGTATATCACCCATTTCGAAGACGCAGGGTATAACATGAAGTTAAAGTCATGTTGTAGCCATCTAGTGGCAAAGCTCTAAGGTAGGATACAGAAATCGCGACACACACTGTATGGCGCTGCCATCTATAGTCACACGTACAGACCCCTACGTCTATACGCTAGAGTTGTCCCAGTTGTCAGCAGACCGAGAGCGGCTGATGAGACCTGGTGGGTCGAAACAGTACTGTCTCGCTCCTGCTGGCAATTGGGGCAACTCCGTTCATCCTGGATCTCTTAGTTATGAGATCTAGCAGCTGAATAGGTGGTGGAAAAATTCCACTCAAGTATGTCAGGTAGTGCCATTTGTCAGCAGAGTGGTTTACTTGTAGTACCACGTAGCGTATAGACTTAGGGGTCTGTACGTGTGACTATAGATGGCAGCGCCATACAGTGTATGTCGCGATATCTCTGTATCCTACCTCAGAGCTTTGCCACTAGATGGCTACAACATGACTATAACTTCATGTTATACCCTGCGTATGTCTCTGTTTTTGGAAACTAGCTTGTCAGGGAACATATCTGACAGACACTCGGCAACCCTTCTTGCGTTATGTGGATAAGCTTGACAATTCAACAGTTCCGTTCGTATATTCAATTGAACTGTCAAAATTCAGTTTGTTAAACAGAACTGTTGGCGTTCCTTCCAAAGCACTCTTCGCAAAAATGGATTTTGCTAATTTTGATCAACAGGAAAGATTCGATCATATCGTGTGATACATCATTGTACTAATGATGGAAGTAAGATATGGTGTAATCACTGATGCGCTTCTGTTTCAGAAATTTCACTAGACCTCTCGAGAACAGTGAAAGCAATGGTTCCGTCGATCTTCTAATAGACATTGCACAATTATGATATCTGTCAGTGTTGAAATTGTCGCAGATTTTTCGAATTCAGAGTTGAAGAATCCCACTGTTACATAAATGTTCCGCGTCCTTAAAATGCCACTTGCCATTTTATTTTCACTCGTCACAGCAGCAATAGCAGCATCACCATCTAGCGGGAAAATGCAGAATCAACGTCTCGCTCGTTGTGACGTAGAGAAATCATAGAGTAGGCGGTCGAGGGATTTTTCTGAAATTTTCAATACGTAATAATGGCCGAATGCGTGAACCATATCTTACTTCTATCATTATTGTACTTGATCAGAAAAAAAAGAATATTCAGAAAAGAACGAATCCGATATGGCGCCCATGAGGAAAAACAGAGTTGAGTTGTAACTTTGGCATCAGGAATGTCATGGAAAATACGATGACAGATTCAGATTTCTTGTGAAGAAGTGCCTCGAGAATGTCCTAGCTAGAAACGTCTAGGTCTTTTGGTTTTCGCTTGAAAAAATAAAGACGAAAATTACAAATTTTCGTTTTCTTCGAATAATTTGAAAACTAAAAATGAAACATCGAATTTTCTTGCAGATTGATGTTCAGCATGAAAATGGGTAACTTTGCACTGATTCAACCGACCTCGTATCTATTATAATAAATGAGCTCCCCATGGTGAAGCTCGTGAAACGGGCAACCTGTATATATACAGGGTGGGCCACCAGTAACGCCTCGGTATCTAGAAGGCTAACCACTTATCTTCTTGGAATTCTTCCTCTCTAGGAAGTTGCATGTCAACATAGGCTACCATTTGAAATTATTTTGAAACATACAGGATGTCCCCAAAAACCATAAAACACTGAAGTTGAACTTTTTTCAATCGAACACCCTAAATATTATTTCATTTTGAAATTCTCCCTGGTGAGCTGATTTCAACAATCCATCATACTTGGGGTCTAGCAGTTATAATTACTGGGATATAGGGTGTGAGAAATCGAGATTTTCCAAGTTCAAGAATTTTTTGTGTCTAATTGGTCAAAACGGCTCACATGTCCCTATCTCAACTTTTGATCAACTATCTACTGACATTTAATTGAAACAAATACAGGGTGGTGCAGAATTCAGAATCTTGATCACCCGGTATATGTCCCAATTAAATATCAGTAGTTAGTTAATCAAAAGTTGAGATAGGGACATTTGAGCCGTTTCGACCAATTATGAATAGTTTCGACACAAAAAATTCTTGAACTTGGAAAATCTCGATTTTTCACACCCTATATTTCAGTAATTATAACTGCTAGACCCCAAGTATAATGGGTTGTTAAAATCAGCTCATCAGGGAGAATCTCAAAATGAAATAATATATAGAGGGTGTTCGATAGAAAAAAGTTTAACCTCAGTGTTTTATGGTTTTTGGGGACACCCTGTATGTTTTGAAATAATTTTAAATGGTAGCCTATGTTGACATGCAAATTCCTAGAGAGGAAGAATTTCAAGAAGATAAGTGGTTAGCCTTCTAGAGACCGAGGCGTTACTGGTGGCCCACCCTGTATATATACAGGCTGATTCACGGCACATTAGACGATTCTGGAGAACGCAACTCAGGATTACTCTGAAAAGTTGGTGCCTGGGGATAATTAGTTGTGTTCTATCGACCTGAAATATACTCAGCGTTGCGAAGTTGCCGCTTATATTGAAAAGTAGCAATAACCTTGATTTTTTTCTATAGAAGACTCTGCATATCATCCCATTTCCAGATTCTTCCTGAAGAGCTGATTTCATGCTTGGAGTCTAGCGGAAATGATAACAAAGATATAGGATGTGAAAAGTCGAAATTTTTAAACTTTGAAAATTTTTTGTGTCGAAAATATTCATAATTGGTCAACAAGGTTTCCATGTCCCTGTATCAACTTTTCATGTACTATCAATTTTGATAGTTGATTAAAATAGATACAGGTTCAGAATTCAGAGTTCTGACCACCCTGTATTTATTTCAATTGAATATCAATTGATAGTACATGAAAAGTTGAGATAGGGACATGGAAACCGTTTTGACCAATTATGAATAGTTTCGACACAAAACATTCTTAAAGTTGAAAAATCTTGTTTTTCACACCCTATATCTTCGTTATCATTCTTGCTAGACCCCAAGCTCTTCAGGGAGAATCTGAGAATGAAATGATATACAGGGTGTCCCATTGAAAAAATCAAAGTTGTTGCTACTTTCCTATATAAGCGGAACGTCGCAGTGTTGAAAATATTTCAGGACGATAGAAAACAATTGATTATGCAAGAAACCAAATTTTCAGTATAATCCTACGTTGCGTTCTCCAGAAACGTATAATGTGCCATCCACCGTGAATCAGCCTGTATATGTGTTGAAAATTATGATGAAAATTATTGAATTGATTTGTTGTTTTTCAGGATAGGGGAAAAGTGTGAGAGACTCATTTGATACCAGTCGTGCAATGTCAGTTTTTCGGTTTCGGATGACATTCAGTATATAATATTGAAGTTCAAAATCATCAGTAACCTTTTTACATATTTGAATATAATATTATGTTTCACACCTTTATGTTATTTATGATATTTCTGTGCCTATAATAAATAAATTGTTAAATTTAGATTATTTCCAATTACCTACTTTATAATATTATTATAAGTATTATTATTTTGAGTAAAATAATCAAAAAAGTATTCTAGTTCTTTATTCGACTGATGTCTACTATAAGAAAATATGTAAAATATGCAATTTGACACGAAAAATCATAATTTTTTCTCCGATTGGCAGCAAATATTAATACTGCTGACACATATCAATCAGCAAAGTATCACTTTTCTTGCCCAGGCAGCAAAGTGGGTACTTTGCTGCCTAGTCAGCAAAGTGATTATACTCAATGGGAATAAAACATTTGACGTAAACATTCATCAGCAATTATTACATAACACTTTTAACATTTTTCTCCATGCAATAATCCATAAATCGTTTATAATTTCCTTCATATTCCATCCGAGACTTCTCCGGCAACAAATTCAACTCTATATTTTTTGCCACCTCCCTTATTTCTGGAGGAGTAAGTACTTCCAGGTCGCTATCACTGTCCATTATATAATAATTTAAATATAGCGATATTTTATTGCACAACTGTCAGAAATTTCATGACTTGTCAAACTATAATTTTTATGGACATTTCCATAGCAACCAACCATTCCAACAACTGCGATTTTTATCAAATTCTATTCTAATTGAACACTACAGGAAAAATAAAGAGATTGTGGGAATTGTAATAATTTGCAAATACAATATCCTCCTATATCATTATGAACAATCGGAGAAAAAATTATATGTTCAACTCGGCAGCAAAGTAGATTGACTGCCTTAGCTGAATTCCTCGGCAGTCAATCTACTACTTTGCTGCCTAGTTAAACAAATAACTATTCCTTCAGATACGAGTCAACCAGATGAAAACCAAACAAAATAAAACAGACAAACATATCAAACTCGAAGATTGAGAGAAAATTTTGTCCCACTTGAAATATGGAATTCGATGCAATATGTTTCGACACCTAGGGGTCATCATCAGGCTGAAAATTCCAAATGGGTGTGTAAAATGAATAATTCAAGGGTTACATACCTTATAGGTTAGTTAGGAGAAAACAATACAGTGTCTGTAGGCATAGTGAGTATACATTTCAATATATCTTGAATTTGATCTAATGAATTCCCGAAAGAACATTTCTCGACAAAATTTGACCAACTCATTATTACGACATTGACTGTCGTAATGAATAAGGACAATGGTTTGATCACTAGCTCATGAAAAATTTAGTCGAAAATTTAGATAATCAGACAGAACAATTAACTGAAACAAATGAAGGAATGAAAGCTCGGAGTCAACTACACAAAACTTAATGACTTTGTGTAACAATCAGGGACATTTGAATATCTTAAGGACATATCAGCTTAATCAAGAGTTCTACGATACAAAGAAATGATTGGTATGAGGGAATTTCAGTTTTGAGTGTTGCTATCGAGAAAAGTTTCATTATTTTTGGAAGTGAAGTGGGGGATGTTAATCAAATATCGATTTGAAGGAGTATGTTCGAATGATTATTTTTCCTAAAGATGTAGTATTACGGACGAAATAGAATTATGCAATAACTATAGCGAATATTGATCGTATTTCAAAATTCTGTAGTGTGTATTTCATTTCCTTGAAACATATATTATTGGATATGATACATTTTCTCCTTTTGATGGATCAATTTGAAAATCCGTTCAGAAACCCTGATCAACATCATTTGAAACGAATCTCGATTAAATACGTTAGAACTATTCAGCTATACAGAATGATGAGAAAGTCAATTTTTGAATATCCAATTTGTATAGCAATTATGAGCAGCTATATTTATATATAGAAAATGTTCAGATAACCTGAAAATTGTGAGTTTGAATCGCGAGAGGACATAGGAGTAGGAACAAGAGAATGTGAGCCAGGGAGTTGAAGGTATTAGAATATTGCTCTTCTGTGACGAGCTTATTCAAATTAGCAGTATTATTTTTCTACCATTGATTCCAAGTATACACTGGTCGATATAAACTCCAAAACCACATACCCCATCAAAACATTACAATTTCATGAAGTTGTTGAATATTCTGGCAGCCATTATACACAATGGCGGCTTTTTATCAAATTATGCACTCAGATAAATAGCAAACGTCGAATAAAATAGGCACCAGTCACTACATTCATCAAATAATACCACACCAGAATTGTATCATACCATACACATAATTTTAAAATCGGAAATGATGTGATAAAAACCTGAAAATGAGAAATTATCGATTCTGAACATCCTGTATGAGGAATATGGAAAATTACAAAACCGTTTCGAGATATTGGCTTAAACGTTCAAAAAAAAAGATCAATAAAATAATAAAAAAAATTCCCTGGAATACGGAAGCGTTCGAATTCTCTCATTTTTGCTTTTGGGTGTATGATAAATTGACATTCATCATAGAGAATGCGAATTCTCAATGTATTGCTTTATATAAATATATATCCATTTTTGTATGTTCATAATTTATCTGAGAATATTCCTTTTCAACACTCTCTCATTTTTGTACTACTTTTTTCGAACACTTGATGTGTAATGACAGAAAAACTCCCGACGAGTTTTGAACGGGGAATCTTGAACAGAAAGATGGCATCTTCTAAGCACGACTGCATTCCGATTGAAAATCCATTCATTTTCTAAAGAGATATGGCAGTTTGGAAATTGACAAATATTTCAGTGGTCCACTTGTTTCTTTGAGCACTTATATAGGCTATATAAAGCAAGCTTCTTCAGAAAAACTTATAGGAAATCTCATCAACCATCAATAAGAGTATGTGTTTGAAATCTCATAATCTCATATATCTTGCGATCATAATATTTGAAGTGGTTCTACCTCTTCCGAAGCATGTTTAAATCGTTCGTTGCTATTAGAAGTAGTCTCAGGTTATGTTAACCTGTCTCTTTTATAGGAGTGAATAACAATAAGCTTTCAATTACAGAAATGCATGTGACAAAAAAAATTAGAATTGAAAAGCTTCATTATATATTATCACGTTATCAGACTATATTGATCAAGCTATAAACTCATGTAACAGTATTCCATTTCTCATACTCCTATGAAGGACGAATTCAGATATCAAGAAAGACCACCTATAACTGATGAAGAATTATATATTTCAGAAGTAGCTACCTCGCAACGAATAATCCATTTTGAAGGAATGCTACCTAAATAAGATGTAGATGTAGATACCAGCCAATAAGTAGTCACTCTGAGAAGTTTCATCATGGAAGAAGATAGAGAGTTTGAGAAGATATCATATCATTGTGTCATTCATAAAATTGTTTCCCATGAATCTGGTATGTGTCTGTCTGATATTTAATATGATGAGAGGGTTACTTCCAAAATATAGAATTACTAAAACTCTCAGATTCATTAGACCCCTGAAATCTCTAGCCTTCCCCCTACCTCGATAGTATGTGACCAATGTAAATAATTGCCCATTACAGTCCCATTATTTATGTATATGCTGGGCTTGCTATGGGAAACCCAATGTGTCGATTATGTTGTACTGGACTACTGCCGGAAAACTGAATATGATTGCTGGGTACTCAGCACTGAGACCAGCTGCCACAGTGTACTGATATACAAAGTCCCGCATATGGGACCATTTACTGATGTCAGGTATGAGGAAAATATATTAGGCCATTATTGTTTCATATCAAAATGTTCGCTAGGTTAGCTGATGAGATACGAGAGTTGATTCCTCATCAAGTTAAGGTGGAATTATTTGCCGAAGGGAATATTCGCAAGAACTTATAATTTCCAAAAGTTCAAGAACAAATCCTGTCTCGCCCTATCCCCCTAGGTGCGCACGATGTTCTCCGAATATAATAGGAATCATCTTCCGTGGGCACCAAGAGTTAAAAAAATCTCATTACTAGTAGCATGTTCTAGCGCGAATGCATAACGGAAAGTGGGTTGATTTTCAGTCACTTGTATCGACGTTGATTTGGCTCCTACATTCACTCATCTGTTATTATTATTATTATTATTATCTTCATATGAATACATACAAGGTCCAGAATAAAGAAAATCATTGATGAAGGATCGAATCTTAGATGCTCATGACACTCTATATAAGTATTGGTTCAATAAATGAAATCGATATATTTATTTGTTCATAGGTAAATACATAATTACCTTCGTCTGAAATTATTAAACTGTTGTTCACTGAAATTGTTATTATTCAGACAATATTTTCAACACTTATGGAACCTATTACTGATAAGTTAATCACTAGGTACTTCGTGCTTCCATGAAATCTTATGAACTATCTCAAACCACATATACTGGGTCTCTCAGTTCTTCTCAAGTAATTGTTCCATGCCAAAATTTTTCGTAATACATTATATCTTCTGTCAACCTTTGATATTGGATTTGAATCAAATTGATTCGAGATAATTTTATCTGCCTATCTATCAATTGTTATTTTTTCTGAATGAATTCGATGAATCTACATTTCAAAATCAAATGTTCCAGATGTAGGTAGTTAGCAACATTCTTGAATTCAACTCATTCTGCAGAGAATTTCTTGTGATTTCCAGCTCATTCCATCATAATTCGAAATACAACTACTTCACTTGATTTACCAAAATAGTGAGTCTGAAGCAGAAAAGAGTAGGCATTAATTAGACATTATCTTTCCATTCGGAGGTTCTCGCAAAAAGTTTGAATTATAATCCTGTGGCGGAACTGCGAGCACTGATGAGGGACAAATATCGAAAAATCCTTCTCTAGAAAGTGGACAGATTGTAGTAGTCTAGAAAAACATTTGTGGACAGATAATTCCAAAGTGGAGATGTTCAACAAGAGAACGAGCTCTTGAACCATGCTGTTCTATAGGTGTTCCAGTTTTGACTGCATATGGATGTGAAACTTGAGAAAGTCGTGTTTGGCAAACAAAGGTCATTCCAGGAGGAACAGCTGATGACAATTCGACAGAGCATCGTTCATGTTAGAAGGATAGAAGAGTGATAGGT